TTGATTGGTTTCAGGATTTCATCATGAGCTGACATTAGTTAGAGAACCATTGGAAAACCTGGGATTACTGGACAGCTGTTTCGTCCTAGTTTGGGACTCCTCAGCAGTACGCACCCGCCGGGATTCGAACCCAGGACCTTCCGGTTACAAGGCGAGCTCGTATACCATTAGGCCACTGGGACCCGATCCAATGGTCCTTGAATTCTAACTTCTGCCAATTCACGACATAGCGCCACCGCTAGCCAATGTCTTCGGCGAGTATTTGTCCTCACACCCGACCAGCTGCACCCTACTGGTCACGACTTCCCACTGGAACCCAGGTAACTACCTACCTGAATAGGGCCAGTCGCCAGTGAGCATCTCATTGGTATTCAAGTGTTGGTTTGTAGGGATTTGATTGGTTTCAGGATTTCATCATGAGCTGACATTAGTTAGAGAACCATTGGGAAACCTGGGAGTACTGGACAGCTGTTTCGTCCTAGTTTGGGACTCTTCAGCAGTACGCACCCGCCGGGATTCGAACCCAGGACCTTCTGGTTTCAAGGCGAGCTCGTATACCATTAGGCCACTGGGACCCGATCCAATGGTTCTTGAATTCTAACTTCTGCCAATTCACGACATAGCGCCACCGCTAGTACTCCCAGGTTTTCCAATGGTTCTCTAACTAATGTCAGCTCATGATGAAATCCTGAAATTCCATATTAGTTTGTTTATTAGATGGATGTGTCACACAGTGAGTGAAACAGTATTATTTCCTGAATGACAAAGTTTCGAACACAATTTATTACAATTCATAATCATAAAGAGCACAGAAACTAAATACTACCAAGGAAAATCTAAGACAAGAAGTGAGGCATATAAGAGAGAAGCTTTGAAACTTAATGAATAATTACCCTGATAAATTAGTCAGAAAATATGTAGGGAAATGTAAAAATAAAACGAATAATAATACTAGTGATAGTGATGATAACATTAATGACGACATGCATGCCAGACATAACAGAATATAATGACAACACTGACAATAGGGAATTTAGTACTTCCATACAAAAAGAAGGAACCTTGGAAACCTTACGGAGAATTCATCACAATGCACGAATAAAAGCGGTTGCAATTCAAACCAACCACAAACTCAATTAGAAACAAGCTTTGTCGGTTAAAGGATCCTGCTAGTGAAGCCAATTAAATGAAACAATTTAGGATTTCATCATGAGCTGACATTAGTTAGTCTATATAATACTATGCCTGCAATGTTTATCAATTCAAATACATAGGTCATAGCAGTAGAATGAGGTGAGCAACATGGAGGTTAGGCGTAGAGTTCTAGGTAAACAGGGGAAATCAATCGACGAAGTCGTGAAGCTACAAAGACTGAGATGGTTAGGACATGTGTTACGTATGCCAAGCCATCACCTCCCTCGACGAGCAATGTTAGCGGATATAGGGTAAGGCTGGAAAAACGCTAGCGGCGGTCAAACAAAAACTTGGCATCAGTCAATGAAATCCACAACAGTTGGTCTAAGCCACGTAGGAAGGTGTAGACTGGCTTCGTGGTTGGGGTCCTCGGGACGGTAAAAATCTATGGTTGGAAACAATTGGTGACATGGCTCAAAATCGTTCTCTGTGGCGCAGATGCATCCACTCCTTGTGACTTATGATCTTCAATGAAACTGTTTTGTATTTCTTTATTACTCCTTTGTCTCACACCTCTGCTCACTGTTTCTATTATGCTTTTCTTGTACTTTCTTCTCTTGCTTTGTGTGCTACACGGAATGTGGAGACTTGGACTTCCGTACATTTGTGCAAAGTTCTATGTCGAAAACAGACAGACAGTAGAACGACGTCAGTCAGTCAGACTAGCCGAACATAAAACCTAGCAAAATCTAGATTATGTGACCCGTATAAGATAAGAAATCTAGAGAATAGTTCAGCTATACCACTCACTCACTACACGCAATTACACACAACCATACAATAGGATGATGGGATAAGATGACAATTTTATAATCTAATGCCATAGGGTGGAGCTAGGGAGAGATTGATAACAGAAGCTTTACTTATCGAATCATTTGCAAACATGCGTAATACGAATGATTTAACACCTGTTCACCCAGATATCTAGGATATTCTACTACCCCAACGACGACGACGACAAAGAAAACTATAAAACTCAAGTTTCAAAGTCGTGGGATTACAATTGATGACATGATTATGAACTGCAATAAATTGTGTTTGAAACCTTGTCATCCAGTAAAAAAAATACTGTTTTACTCAGCGTATGATACATCTAATAAACAAACTAACATGGAACAGGATTCGAATTTTCAACATAAATGTGAAGTCAGTTACTGCTTCTCTATGGGTCAGAAACTTGCACTGATTATCACGAAAAGCATTTCCAACAGCCAGTTATAGACTTTTATCAACAGCTGCCCGCCCACTTCACTGGCTCCATACTGAAGATCACACAGCCGGCCAGCCAGCCAGCCTGTTTTCGACATAGAACTTTGCACAAATGTGCGGAAGTTCAAGTCGCCACATTCCGTGTAGCACACAAAGCAAGAGAAGAAAGTACATGAAAAGCATAATAGAAACAGTGAGCAGAGGTGTGAGACAAAGGAGTAATAAAGAAATACAAAACAGTTTCATTGAAGATCATAAGTCACAAATAGTGGATGCATCTGCGCCACTGAGAACGGTTTTGAGCCATGTCACCAATTGTTTCCAACCATAGATTTTTACCGTCCCGAGGACCCCAACCACGAAGCCAGTCTACACCTTCCTACGTGGCTTAGGCCAACTGTTGTGGATTTCATTGACTGATGCCAAGTTTTTGTTTGACCACCGCTAGCTTTTTTCCAGCCTTACCCTATATCCGCTAACATTGCTCGTCGAGGGAGGCGATGACTTGGCATACGTAACACATGTCCTAACCATCTCAGTCTTTGTAGCTTCACGACTTCGTTGATTGATTTCCCCTGTTTACCTAGAACTCTACGCCTAACCTCCATGTTGCCAGCCAGCCAGCCAGAAAGAATTAACATCAAGAAACTCTTTTTGGGGGACAAACCAACAAGCAAGAGCCGACCGCTCAAAGAATATGTAAAAGGAAATGGAGATGGATGTGGCACACGTTGAGGAGGCCATCGAATGACATAGCGCACAGTGTAGGCCATCGCTCGAGTAAAATCCCGATGGGAAGAGCGACAAGTAGTTTGTCAGTGTGAGGTTGACACGGAAGAAATCGTTTAACAGGGGGGGGTGGAGATGAGACATTATGGGTTATTGTGGACCTACCAGCTGAAGATGACAGCAGAAGATATGATATACTGCAGAGATATCTTGTTGGAGCCCTATGTTCCACTCGAAACCCAAGGGAATAATAGTAATAATAATCATAAAAACTTAGAAAGTGACAGAAGTCGAAATTTTTCCAAACAAATCAATAAATTATTATTACAAAAGAAGCTCATGTACATCTTTCTTTTTCTCTTAGTGGTACACACATCATCATCAATGGGTGAATGGATTTTGTAAACGTTTCGGCCAATCCAATTCAACGCTAATCACATCTAACGCTAATATATCTAAATGACATTCAAATATACTTGTTAAACTAGGATTACATCGACCAAGATCACCATGTACAAATTCTTTGACATAAGTACCAGCTTCACAACGTAATTCCAACACGAAAAGTTCATCTTTTGAATACAATTTTGACCATGATTTGAAATCATCAAACTAGAGGGCGGCGGGGGAGGGAAACACAAATGAAAAAAGTTGCATTATTGATAATATAAGGAGAAAACTTGGGCACTGTTGTGGTAGAGTATAACTCCATTATGATAAAAATTATGTGTTTTTGATAAAGTTACACAGTGTGTTATGAAGTAGTAATATTTACTGATGACCACCACGCTTCGAGCACAAATTATCATTGCCACTCATAGTCATAACCTTGCCTAGTTAATTACCTCGCTAGTTTCCTGTGGGGGTGGTAGCAACCCTACACCACCAAAATCCTTCAAACAGCTAGAGAAACTTCAACACACAGAAAATACATTAAAAGTACAAAAATTCCAAATAAAAATCTTATTCTTCGCTCGGATTGGAGAGGCAAAATGACAAGGCGGGCTGGTGAAAGAACAACTTAGGGAAGGCTAGTCAGCCGACGTGTCTTTTCTCGATGAAAGCAAGAGTAAGAATGCGAAAGTGAAATGTTCTCACAATGCATGAGACTGGGAAAGCTGCCCAGAGAGCCAAAGAGATGTAAAGATATAGATAAGAAGTACTGGGTATCTCTGTGAAATCAGATGGAAGGGATGTAGATTGACAACATCGTCAACAAGAGACTCAATAATCTACTCTGGTCACCCAGATGACAACCACGAAAACATTGAGGCAATGGCTATCATGATGTCATCAGTGGCAGCCAAAGCCCTAATACAGTGGGAACCAATATCATCCAGGATCATGACAGCAAGATTCAACTCAAAAGGAAGGAACGTTACAATTATCCAATGCTACGCACAGTGCTACAAACAACGCGGAACAAGAAAACAATGAGGATTTTTGCAGACAACTACAAACAGTAGTGGACGACATCCCAAATAGTGATATTAGAATCCTTACGGGTGATATGAATGTCAAACTGGGAGCAGATAATACTGGAAGAGTACTCGTCATGGGTCGAGAGGCTGTCGATCGGAGGAATGAATGAGAACGGAGAGTTATTCTTAGACTTCTGCTCTTTCAAAGATTTGGTGGTAGGAGAGAGAGAGAGAGCGTACGAAAACATAGCAACATGGATTTCGCCTGACGGACATAAAACAAACTAAATATATTTCATATCAATCTCAAGGAAGTGGAGACGCAATCTGCTGGATAAAAAGTCGAGAAGGGGAGCTGATGTGGGGTCAGACCATCATCTAGTTCAAAGAACCTTCAAGTTGAAACTGAAATCCACGAAAACAAATGGAGACAGGTCACTGTAATTCATGTTCAACATTCAGAAATTGAAAGACAAAACTACAAGACATGCCTTCGCTACAAACATCAGAATAAAGTTGGACACACTACGTGACATCACTGAGGAAATCTGTGTGGAAGAACACAAGAACTCTCTGGAAGCGAGATTTAAAGAAACAAGTACAACTGTTCTAGGAAGAAGGAAGAGACAAGACAAGGAATGGCTGTCAGTGGATATATGGAAGCTAATCGAGGAGAGGAGCATGGTGAAAGAGAAGATGACTCAATGCAAAGATGCACAACAGACGGAGAAGCTGAGTTCAATGTACACTGCACTGAATAAAGAGAGAAGTGAAGAGTGCTAGAAAAGACAAACGACGATTCTATGACACACTGGCTGGCGAGTGAAGCAGAACAAGCCGCAGGCAAAAGAGACATTGGGACACTATATCAGATAACCAAGTCTATATCCAGGAAGAGATCAACCTATATGGTGAAATCAATAAAAGATGTTCAAGGGAACTTGATCACCAAGGTGGAGAAACAAATCAAAGAATGGGCTGATCACTTTAAAGAACTCTTAAATCGACCATCACCACCTGCAACTCGCCCAGAAATAGCACCAACAGCCCATACGGAAATGCATGCCCGTGGACACCATTCCTACAAAAGAAGAAGAAATCCTGAATGCGATCAAGCTACTGAAGTCTAGCTGGGAAGGCAGCAGGACCAGACGGCATTCTTTCCCAAGCACTGAAGACGACCCCAGAGATTAGGGCAGATGTCCTCACTCCATTACTGCAAAAAGTTTGGAAACAAGGAGAGGTGCCTACTGATCGGAAGAAGGGCTACCTCGTCAAACTGCCAAAGAAGGGTAAAATAGTAAGGCCTGTGCAAGAACTGGCGTGGGACAACGCTCCTGCCTACTCCAAGTAAAATACTAAGTAGCATCATCCTGGAACGGGAATAAAGGATGCACTGGACACACCGGACTCCGCTACCTACCGGAACAAGCTGGATTCAGGAGAGGTATATCATGTGCTGATCAAATTGCAAATCTACGCATCGTCATCAAACAAAGGATAGAATTGCAGTCAAACCTCTCCCTACCTCAACTTTATCGACTTCGAAAAGGCCTTCAACAGACAATGTTGACCGAGAAGTAATTTGGAAACTACTTCAACAATATGGCGTGCAATGCTCAACCTCATTCAACAGCTCTATATGACAATGCCAAGTATCAGTGATCCACAACGGAAAACTCAGCGAGGCGTTCAAAGTGCATACAGGAGTAAGAGAAGCTGGTTGCCTGCCTATTATCACCCACGATGATATTCTTAATTGTGGTGGACTGGATTATGCGTCAGACTTTTGGGGGCAAGGAGTCAGGAATACGCTGGACCACGGATAAGAAGACTCTGGAAGATCTGGATTTCATGTATGGATGGTATATGTCTAATGTCACACAAACTCGAAGACTTGCAAGCGAATACCACCAAACTGGCTGTAGAGGCAAGCAGCGAAAACAAGTGAGCACAGAGAAGACGGATCTGATGAAAATAACCAATCAACAACAAACAGCAACAACAACTAGCAACAGTCACCATCAAAGGTAGAGATTTGACAGAGGTTACTTCCTTCACTTTTCTGGGAAGAATCGTTTCAACTACAGGCGGTCGGAAGGGACGAAGATGTCAAAGTCAGAGTCAGAAAGTCAAGATACTCCTTCACCGACCTGAAACCAGTTTGGAAATCTTCTGCGCTTAGCAGCATGAGCAAAAAGTTCAGATTTTCAACAGAAATGAATTACAAACTTAGCTCATGTATCATGAGAAGCATTTACAACAGGTTGCAGAATTTTATCAACATCAACCTTCACTCTACATTGAAGATCAAATCACCCGAAAGAATCAACAACCAAAAGCTCTGGGAACAAACCAACCAAGAACCACCTATCGTTCAACATATATGGCAAAGAAAATGGTGATGGATTGAGCATGCTATGAGGAGACCGACGAATGACGTCGCACACCAGGTCCTTGAGTAGAAGCCGAATGAAAAACGAAGAGTGGGTCGTCCGAGAGTGATATGGAGGAGATCGTGAAAGGAGGAAATGACAGACTGTGGGTAATTGTGGGCTCAGGCAGCTAAAAAGGACCACAGGGAATAGGACAAAGTGGAGAAGTCCTACTAGGAACCCAAAGGAACAATAATAATAATAATAAAACTGAAAACCAGGCAGAAATGGACAGTTGTTTCATTCTAATCCGGGATTCTTCATTATCACTTGCCTATGACACCTACTACCGGGGGTTGGAACCCAACAAATTCAGTTTAAAATGCCAGTCTGCTGACCCTCCACCAAATGGAACACAGTCCAATGAACAATGAATTCTTATTTCTCTGTTAAACTAGAACAAAACAGCTGCTCAGTACTCGCTGGTTCTCTCACAAATGTCAATTTGTAACTTGAAATCAACACTTTAAAATGAATCTAATCCATACACTATTGGTTGATTACAAGATGGAAAATGATTTGATTGGTCGAAGCATTTCATCATGAGCTGACATCAGTTAGAGAAGCATTGGAAAACCAACTGGGAGTACTGGATAGCTGTTTCCTCCTAGTTCAAAACTCTTCACGAGTACGCACCCACTGAGGTTCGAACTCAGGACATCAGCTCATGATGAATTCCTCCACGTAACTAACCAAACAAAATCCCTGCAAAACCAATACTTGAAAGAAAAGGTACTTCAAAGTTTTGTTACTTACCACAGGATTATTAGTTTTCATTGCTTCTTTATAGGACATAAAACAGACACGATGAATAGTACGTTTACGATTCATTAATGCTCGCCTGTGTAATACACGTAATGGTGTAAGTTGATTCACTTCAAATGGACCAAATCCAATTTTTGTTCCACCTGATGACGAAGAGGAAGAAGAATAAGGCCATTGAATGACAGGCTTCTCTTGACTGACGACGTCATTGCTACTATTATTGTTTTCATCACCATTGATATTCGCTGTTGTTTTGATAAATATGCATGGCGCATACTTCTCCATCTTCATAAGCATCTCTGTTGTGATGCCACCATTTGGACACCAGCATAATGCACGATAACATTTCGCCTTTTGCATTTCACCGCCTTTGATTTTAGCTGAAGCTGTTGCAGATGATACCAACTAGACGAGACAGACAGACAGAGAGAGAAAAGAAGTGGCGATACACGGAATCGGTGTGGTTAGTGTGAGCTACTGACAAGATCTATCAGTAGTAGGTATATAAAAAGAGACGTTCATCAGCACAAATATATCAAATAGCCAAGAGGTAAACTTAGCGTCAAACAAGGAGATAGTGTGGTGAGAGCTGTCTGCCAGCTAAAATTGGTAGACAGCAACTTACGTCCCAAATCTTGGTCATGAGAAGAAAACAAGACAGAGACTTTCCGTCGGCGGATACGAATAGCAGATATATGGTGTGACCTTCAAGGAAACCTATAATAATGTACATAAAAATCTATAAATATCTATTTCCTGACCCTTGTCTACTGATATTACAATATAAAATGAATCACCAGTATCGCAGAAATACATGGGAGACACGAAAAGATGACAAAAAGAGACACCATATGAAGAGTAGATGTAGCATAACACAGACGATCTGTGTAAATGACGATCATGAAATACTGACTAACTGACTGATTTCAACATAGAACTTCGCACCCATGTGCAGCACTTCAAGTCACTGCACTTCAACTCACCACACAAAGGGAAGAAAGAAAAAAAGAAATGCAAAATAGAGACAGTAGACAGGGATATGAGACAAAAAGAATAGTAATAAAGAAGAACAATATAATTTCATTGGGTGTTATAAGTCACAAGGAGTGGATGCATCTGCGCCAGCCAGCCATTGAGAACGATTTCGAGCCATATCACCAATTGTCTCTAGGCTTCATTGGTTTTTACAGTCTCGAGGACCCAACCAGCCAGTCAGTAAGTCTACACCTTCCTACATGAGTGCCTTAAACTAACTGTTGTGGATTGCATTGATTGATTCGATGTTTTACGGTATAAATATAAACACTTATTTCAATATCACTGAGATTTTACAAATAAATTTTCACAAATGTCTACTTCTCATTCGGCGCCCAATTATATTTAGGAACTATTCAGCTACATATCGATCACAGTTCATACTGAAGTAGTATAGGTAGTTGGAAGGAGAGGTTGATCAATGCATCTTTGTTCATCTAATTTACACATCTAACATGTGCAATAGAAATGACGCATCACCGATTACTAGAGATATATTGAAAGTAATATTAAATATTCCTATAGTAAAATTTAGAACAAGACATTTAAGCGAACAGTGATATGGTGCTTTCAATTAGATCTCATCAGACTTAACTCTAATATGCCTACATAACTTTACAAATAAAAATTCAAATATATAAACCAATCATGGTGTTTTGTCTATAGGATAACACGAGTGTGCTATTGGTCATAATGGCGAAGTTAAACTTTCGACACCACTAACTACCAATCAGCGAATTATCCAATGAGATTCACGAACGATGTCGAATTATTCAATGAGGTTCACGAACGCAGTTCAATGTTGTATAGCGCTTGATTCATTTCTAATGCGTGACCTTACAAGGCTATTGTTGCAATTCGAGGAGGTTAGTGTTTACCAGTATTTCCTAGATTTCAGTTGCTCCGGAAAGAACGAATTTGATTGTGTGGTGGTATCATGACTTTAAAAAGCTAAACCAAATCAACTGATGGGTTTGTTCATCGTTGTGCTATATGTTTGAAGCCTACTGACACTAGAGAGGGTATGATGATAATTTTATTATCTCGTAGGAACTTTTTCCGCTAGGTCGCTTCTCTCCCTAAGGATAGCAGATAGAAAAGCAACTACTCTTATGCCTATTGTTACCAGAATTGTTAAGCGGGGGTCAATTATACGCACGGAAAAGCTACAATTCGCTGTCATCTCTGGGATATATTCATCATAGAGACAACCATTCAAGTGATTTTGTGGATCCCGTTACGAGGACACATACAAATTCTAATGAAGGATTTTGGGGCAGGTTGGAAAATAGGATAAGGGCTATAAATGTATCGCAAAAGGATCTCATTTATAGTCATTTGGATGAATATATGTACAGGATATGGTGTAACTTCTCCATTGACAGTCCCATGCTAAACTGGGAGATTTTTCTCTCACATGTTCGAGAAAGATATCCCATGTAACTTTTTTATTCTCTATTTTATGGTTTTTTCTATAAATATACATTTCCATTCATCATATATGCCTCTTTAATGTGACTGGTCTGTTCGAGGTCGTTTGCTGATTGGTTGTTAGTGGTGTCTAAAGTTTAACTTTGCCGTCATAATAATAGTAGTGTTAATAATAATAATAATGATAATAATAATAGTAATAATAATAATAATGGTTCTATGAGTAACAAGGATGAAAAAGTGAGGTGATCTGTGATAAAAAGAATAACGAAAAATAGCATAATTAAACAAACAAACGAATGTTCAGGTAGACGTAGTATTCGATAAAGGCTAAGAAAAACAAACCAGCCGATTACGTAATGCCAGATTGTAAGCGATGTGATAAGATTAAGGGATGATATGAGATTGGGGTTGAAAAATATAATATAAGTAAGGCATGATGGGGAAGTCCTCACTTGATTACGTCTTAATAGGCCAATAAAAGGGAGGGATAATGGCTATACAAACGTTTTTTGAATGTATAGTTTAGCTTTAATAGTTCTAATGCCTATCAATTCAGCTGTATGAGTGCAACAGACGACTGTCAAGTCTATTGGAAAGATTCGGTGGGAGTGAGATGAATTGCCTTGAAAGCTCTTGTTTTCTCCACTACCTGACCCACTATCATCAACTAAATGTGACAAAAATAGAGCTACAGACTGTTTCCGTCTATCCCTTGCCAAACCACTATTACCAATAATATCAAAGCATAAGAAATAATGGCTTAATTGTTATGTACTCGTCGACAAATTATTATTATGTACTGGTCGAGAAAGTATTAGTAGTCCTGACCCAAGAAAGACGGAAATCAGAAGACCACTAGGTTTGCGATGATACTTCTATTTCCCAAACACAAGGAGACACAATAAGTGGTATCACACCAAAGAGTAGTCACACAAGATTGTGTGAGCGAAATATATATGAATGTCCAGACAAGTGTGTGAACAAATCAATAGACAGTCTTAACATGAATGGCTAATTATAATGGAGTATCGATCCATATATACTGATAGGATCCCACATATTTTGGTAGTGACTGCTAATTTTGTATATATGGTATATCATTCCCACACATTTTGTTACTGACTGTCAATGTCGCACATATGGCATATTATGATTTCTCACACACTTTGTTATTGGCTATTAAGGTCAATTATTTCAAATGCTGTTAGCTGTCCATATTGTTGTAAAATGTATAAATACCATGGCTTTCTTTATCGTTGTTGCACTTCAATACACAGTCACAGTCCAGCCTTTGTCTTTTGATATTTGCGTGCTTTACTAAGTCGGAAGGTACGACGAGCAGATAGACATATAAGTTCAGGCGCAGACAGAATAAGGTGAAAACGTCTTCATTCAACTCCCTACAGTTACAACAATTGGCGACGGGGTTTACTTTATCTCAGTGCAGCTATAACATATACATAGCAAAATATAGCAGACATGTCAACAACCACCATATATGGATATATGTCACCAAGCAACGGACTGTCAACAAACACTCATATTATATATAATATAAGGGGAATATACATTGTTAAAGGAGACAGGTTCATCAAAGTGAAATGATCACAGACTAAGAGAGCAACAGAAAGAGAGATCACCATACACACATATATATATATATATATATATATATCATTAATATAGACAAAGTCTGAAACTTACATGAATAACCTGATAATGATTACTGCTCGGCAATAAGTGGAGCTCGAACCAATATGAGGAAATAATAATAGAACTGCATCATTGTGTGCACGCATATAGAGTGAGTCAGTGGCACAGCGACAGAATGCTCACCGACCACGCATATGGTCCAGGGTTCGATCCCCGGCCACCAACACACTCCCTTACCTCTCTAAGCCATTAATAAGACTGGTAAAGAGGGAAGGTTGGGGTATGAGGCTAGCAACCTCATGCCGTAAAAGCAAACACCACTTGCTACGGAAAATTCAAGCCTCTAGCTTGAAGCCACCCCCTATGTTCCACTGGGAATGTAAAGGAATTCATAAAAAAATGATGGAATTATACTCTATCATTGTAAAGTATCCACGTTTTATTCTTCAATCAATAAGTGACAAAATTCTTTAGATATCTGGAACAGGTGTGAAACCATGTGTTCTGTGTCGTTTATCTAATGAATAAAGCTTCGCTTATCAATCTTTCTGTCTCTCTATTTCACACATACTAACTCTCTATTCTATCACTTTGTTCCACATCTAGTCAACGGTGAAATAGTACATGTATACAACAAAAGGTCTTTAACATCAACTTGCCAAGAGATAGCTAGGAGGATTCAACAACTAAGGGATTATTTATCAAATAGACATAAAATATACCGAAACGAAGTGAAATATACAGAGAGTTTCCTGTTTACTGGAATGCAATAATTATAATGATTATTATTATTGTTCCCTTGGATTCCTAGTGGAACATAGGGCTTCAACTGCACGTCTCCACTTGCCACTTCTGTCTTCTCCTGTACTTTTCACCTGCATCCATGTTAGTCCATACTCTCTCAACCCCTCTTCACACGATCTCTTCCATGTCACCCTTGCACTGAAGTCCCACTCGCCGCTTCCCTTTCGGCCTGATTCCACACGAGCAATGGCCTGACACGCGCACGATGTCACCCAGCGGCGGCCTCCTCAGCGAGTGTCCAATCCATCCATCTCCACTTTCTCCTGCATATTTTTGGTTGGCGATCGGTTTGTTCTTGTTTTGTTTGTTTGTTCCCATAGTTTCTTGTTGGTAATTCTTTCCGACCCGGCCATCTGATCTTCAGTATAGATCCAGCGAAGACAGTTGTTGTCTGAAACAGGCTGTTGGAAATATTCTTTGTGACCCGCCCACCAAGTTTCTCATCTGTATAGAAGAAATGACTGACTTGACGTTTATATTGAAAATTCGACCGAATTTTGTTGTTGATGCCGGCTGAGTGACGAGGATTTCCAGATTGATTTCAGGTTGATGATGAATGTGTTTCTCGCTCGCCTTCCCGATTCTCGCTCGATTTGACATCGTCATCCGTTCCTCCTGTAGTTGAGACAATGCTCCCTAGATAAGTGAATGAAGTAACCTCTTTCAAATTCCTCCCGTTGTTGGTGATTGTCGCTGGATGTTACTGCCTAGATTACTAGCTGACTAGTTTTCTAGCCGGTCCCAAGCCCGGATAAAGAGGGGGGGGGGTTGAGGTGTGATGCTAGCAACTCCAACTTAACCAGATCGTTACAGAAACTTCAATGCATAAATATATTGAAAATACTAAAAATAATGATAATAACTGATTACAGGATTTCATCATGAGCTGACATCGGTTAGAGAAGCATTGGGAAATCAGCTGAGAGTACTGTCAGACAGCTATTTTTTCTGCTTAATTTGGGACTACTCCTCAACAGTACTCACCCACCCTACTGAGGTTTGAACCCGGACCTTCCAGTTAAAAGGCAAGTTTATAGAAGACCATTAAGCTACTGGGACCCGATCGACTGGGCAACCCATGAATTCCAACTTTTGCCAATTCACGACATAGCGCGACAGCTAGCCAGTGTTCTCAGCTAGTATTTGTCCCGTAACCGATCAATCAAATCCCTGCAAACCAATACATGAAAATAATAATAATAGTAATAATAATAACTGATGCCGGTTGCACAAGAAGTGACTTTTGTGGACTAAGTGGTCTAGTGGATAAGGCTTTGGTTTTTGAAGCGATAGGGGATAGTTTCAAATTTCCAGCGAGAACATTACTCACTTACTTACTCATTCCCAAATAGACGAAATGAGCACCCCGAGGATTCTACCACTGCTAATAACTGTTATCCATCAAAGGGAAACGAAATACCTTATACCTCATATTACAACCTGACGAACGAGTTGGTAAGGCAGCATAGGTTTTTCTGAAGTCCTTATTAGAAATTACGATCTATGTATAAGATTCCCGCCTGATAGCTGTTACTTTGATGTGATGGTCGCCGGGCTTGCATATCGGAATGACCCAACAAGATACACTGGTCGGAACTACTCTTCCTGCAAGTCCTACAATGCCGGGAGGGTCGTCAAGATGGCGATTAGACTAAAAACAGTTATCAGCATAGTGTTAGAGTTTTCTTACACTGTGCTGGAGGTCAGTGAGCGAAGTCGCACTGCTGGAGAGCAAGGATTTAACAGCCACAGTAAGGTGTTCCCCTCAGATGACGACCTGCACGCCAGCCAGCTATGCTGTCTCTCCACTCCGGAGAGAAGGGGTTAGAAAAGGTCGACCTCGAAAATTGTACATCCCGACTTACCCCACCTACGGTGATCCGTAACCAACAGTAAGTTACTAATACGGAACCAATCCCAGAAACCAGTTCATACAGACCGTGTGTGACCGGCCCGCATCAAGCAGTTGTCCCTTGGGCTCAGCGGTCACGCAACACTATCCCTCTTTCTGTTACAGGTACCCGAAGAATCCATCAACTTCCACGGTGTGGGCAGCCAGGAGGTAAAAAACGTCCACACACTTCCAAAAGCACACGCAACCCTTCTGAGCATCATTCTCCCTCATTGAGTCATGTATAAGATCATCCCCTAAGTCGCCGATGATAAGAACAAGTACTTAATGCTGACGATGTACAACGGGATAATGCATAATTTGCTTGATACTTACAGACTGATATTTACAAACAGTCCAACCCAAGCCTCACTGCAAACTTTCCCCTTCTCTCAGGTGATGTGAGGTTTAGGATTACGGCAGCCAGGAATCGGACCTAGATAAAACTTGCGGTGCGGTCGGCGAGTAGTATTCTGCCAATGAACCATCGATCCACATAGTGGTTATTATTATTCTTTTTTTATTACAGCTTGATTCCACACTGTATTTTTGGTACAAGTATGGAATTTTCAGCATGTGATATCGGTAGCCTAAATTTTATAAGCCGACCATTGATATCAGGTGTGTATCGGCAGGTGATCGAACCCCAGACCATGTGCATGATCGGCGAGAGTCCTAATCACTGTGCCACCGACGCACATTACTAATCGGTACCGCGAAGTTGTGAACTGCCTCAGAATATACATACCTGTAAATCTCTTATATACACTTTATCCTGTGTGTTTGAATTGACCAACGATGCTAATTTCAGTAAATCCAAAGATTGAGATGGATCAGTTTCAATAGATTCTGCACCAATATTATTATTGTTATTATTGATCGACCATTTACGAACTATTTCTGATGGTAATAATTCATAATTATTGATTTCAATTACAAATGGTCGACCTAGACCAAGACATCTATAAAAGACGAAAGAGAAACAAACGAAGACACTTAGAAAATATCATAGAGATATATACATACAGATTATTCGCTTGCCTTCCGAAGGAGTACATAGGGCCTCAGCAGCACATTGCCACTCCAATCTCTTCTCTGCAATCTTTATTAGATGGATCTAAGATGGTTTTTAAAGCTTTTATTTCTTGCACTCACGACCATCTGCATGTCACCACGCTTGGGACTAACCACCCAACTAACTCACTGTTTTTCGATTGGGTCCAACTCGAGGACCAAGATAGTGCGTGATATCACTCAACGCACTCCTCCTCACTTTATATCCAAAGTCACATCTATATTTTTCTGCATATTTGTTGGATAATTAGATATTGGTCATTTAATTCCCAGAGCTCCTGATCGCTAAACCTGTATGACTGCCTAACCTTCAGTATCGAAAAAAAACAAATGTTGGTGAAGGTCAGTAACATTCTGTTGATGAAAATACTTTTGCATACTGGCTCGTCAAGCATCTCACCTACATATTGGTCCTCAAAAATCTCAAAATGACGCCTCCATAACCCCCATACGAATACAGTTCAGATTTCAACAAAAAACAAATTCTTGAATACAACTGAAAAGAAGATGAATTTAACTTGTCTATGGTAACTACTAGCAGTGGAATCTAGGATCCACATTTCGTACCACTATTTGGGACTCGTCAGCCAACTGGATGTACCTGAATTCCCCAGTGAGTGGTGATGTCCCCACCACCGAGGATCGAAACCAATGCCCATAGTTTCAAACGCCAAAGCGTTATCCACTAGACCACTTGGGCCACGAGAGCCACCTCTTGTGCAACGGGTCATATTAGTTAAATTGAATTTCCGATTTTCCAGTCGATTGATTGGACCGAAGTGCTCGGTCTCAGCTGGACATGTCAGGTTCTTGTGCAGATGCTTTGGCGTTTGAAACTAAGGGCACTGGGTTCGATCCTCGGTGGTGGGGACACCATCACTCACTGGTGAATGCGAGTACATCCAGCTGACTGACGAGTCCCAAATAGGACGAAATGCGCATCCTGGATTACACTGCTAGTCACCATCCACAAATTAAATTCTAATTAAATGCCCAGACATCGTCTAAGCATCTGCACAAGAGGCCGACATGTCAACCTGAGACCGAGCACTTCAGTCCAATCAATTGACGGGAAAAAATCTCAAATTCAATTTTAAAAAAGGAAAAAGAGTTGCGCAATAAAGTGAAGATGATGAGTAACTTATATGGTGAGTTCAAATCAAATCAGAGAAACAGAAAAACAGACAAAATCACATTGTGGAGAAGAGGAAGAGGTTAACGATTATGAAATCTAATCAAAGGGATAGCGCGTAAGGATATATTCAGTTACCTGGGCGGCAAGAGAATAATGATAACGACTTCTTTCTGAACACAAATCCAGTTTCAAGAGGATGGAATCCAGATAGAATATTTTTTTATCGATTATCAACAACAGACAACAATCAGCCAGCATAAATGGGAGGAACGTGAAAGAAACAACCTCCTTCACCTACCTACCTGGGAAGCATCGTTTCAACTATTTTTCAAAATTTATTTTTGATTACAGTACTTTTTGGTAGAAGTATGGAATTTTCAGCATGTGATATCGGTAGCCCAAATTTTGCAGACCGACCATAGATATCAGATGTGCGTCGACAGCGGGTCGAACTCCGGACCATATGCATGGTCGGCGAGAGTCCTAACCATTGTGTCACCGACGCAAAGAATAACTGCGATTAAATGAAGTAAATTTATTTACCAAGTGAAATAAAGACAATAATTTTTTCTGATAAATTGATAAATAAAGAGAGTATGACAAATGAATATTTCTGTATGCTCGGATGTGTTTTTGTATTTCATTCCTTGTTCTTTAAAAGTTTAAACTACGGGGCAGAACTGATGAGGATATCAAAGCGAGGAACAGGAAAGCAAAACAAGCTTTCATTACTATCAAGTCTGTGTGAAGGTCAATAGCATTCAGCATAAAACATCTGGATTTTCAAATCCAATCTGAAGTCAGTGCTACTCACTATACGGATCAGAGACTCGAAGGGCATTTTGAACAAACTACAGACCTTCATCAACAGTCGTCTTCGCTCAATACTCAAGATCAGATGGCTGGTCAGAAAAGACCAGCAACAGGGATCTCTGCAATGAGCGAGCCTACCCAGCAGGAACCGATTGTGCAACAGATATGCAGGAAGAAATGGAGGTGGATTGGCCATACTCTGAGAAAACAAACCATCAAATGACATCACAATCCAGGCCATCGCTCGAGTGGAACCCGAAAGGGAGGCGGCGAGTTGGTCGTCCAAGGGTGGCTTGGAGGAGGTCATGTGAAGGAGATTAAAACATGTGAGCAGACTTGGAGCCAGATGAGAACGTTGGTGGAGAACCGAACGCAATGGAGACTCGCGGCTGAAGCCCTATATTCCTCTAGGAATTAAAGGTAATAATAATAATAAATCAAGGTTCCGAGTGAAACATACGGCTTCAACAACACATCTCCACTTTCTTATATTTTCTGCTGTCCTCTTCAACTGGATCCACGATTTCCCATAATCTCTCATCTCCTCCATGTCACTCTAGGACGACCCATGCCCGATCAATCTCCATTTTCTTCTACATATTTTTTTTAAGAATCGACTCTTGGTTACTTTGTTCCACTGAAGAGTTTCTTGTTGGCTAATTCTTTCTGGCCGACTGGTCATTTGATTTTCAGTATGGAACCAGCCATCAAAAGGTGGCAGCTGTTGGCAAGAATCTGCAACTAGCTGTTGGAAATGCTTCTTGTGATGAGCCAAGTTTGTGACCCATATAGAAGAATTAACTGACTTCACATCTGTGTTGAAAATCGGAATCTTGTTCTTTATATGCCACGAAGTGCAGAAGACTTCCAAACTGCTTTCAGCTTGATGAAGGCATATCTTACCATTCCCATCCAGCCGACCCAACCGAAAGCTGCTACCTTGACGTGGTGGTCGGGCTTGAACACCGCAATGACCTAATCAAGCTATACTGGTTGAGACTTATGTCTCTTGAGGTTCTACCATGCCAGGCAGGTTGTTTGGATAGCGGTTAAACAAAAAGCAACTACCCAATCCAACACCATGATACATAGAAAACCACAAAATTTCATGCCGGATCGGCCGTGGCCCGGATTAACAACGACCGCGCTTCCTGCTGCCGTGTCACAGGGCGGGAGTGATAAGTATGCTACTGAGGCACACCAAACAAAAGAGAACAAACAAAAACAGGCCGCGTGTGACCGGCCTCAAGCAGTTGTCCCCTGGGCTCTGCGGTCACGCAACCATCCAGCCTGGTTTCGATATCTTCATCCATTCCGCTGGCCTGTGGATAAAACCCCACTGTTTCCTAGATAAGTGAAGGAGGTAACCTCAGTCAAATCTCTTCCTTCGTTTGGTGGGTGATTGGTGCTGTGTTGTTGTTGTTGCGGTTCGCTGGTTATCTTCATCACCTCCGTCTTCTCTATGTTCAATTTGCACTCCTGTCAACGTTGGCTGCCTCTCCTGCCAGTTTGTTTCTTTTCACCTCTGCAAGTCTTAGAGTTTGTGTGACATTAGACATCTCTGTCTGTCTGTTTTCGACATAGAACTTTGCACAAATGTGCGGAAGTTCAAGTCGCCACACTCCGTGTAGCACGCGAAGCAAGAGAAGAAAGTACAAGAAAAGCATAGTAGAAACAGTGAGCAGAGGTGTGAGACAAAGGAGTAATAAAGAATAACAAAACAGTTTCATTGAAGATCATAAGTCACAAGGAGTGGATGCATCTACGCCACTGAGAACGATTTTGAGCCATGTCACTAATTGTTTCCAACCATGGATTTTTACCGGCCCGAGGACCCCAACCAGGAAGCCAGTCTACACCTTCCTACGTGGCTTAGACCAACTGTTGTGGATTTCATTGACTGATGCCAAGTTTTTGTTTGACCGCCGCTAGCTTTTTTCCAGCCTGACCCTATATCCACTAACATTGCTCGTCGAGGAAGGCAATGACTAGGCGTGCGTAACACATGTCCTATCCATCTCAGTCTTTGTAACTTGACGACTTCGTCGATTGATTTCCCCTGTTTACCTAGAACTCTGCGCCTAACTTCAATGTTGCTCACCTTATTATGCCACTTTACACGGGAAATAGAGCGCAGGCACCTATGATCAAAGACAGCTAGCCTTTTCATGTCTTCCACTCTCAGTGACCAGGTCTCACAACCATAAAGGAGGACGGAGGGGACTGATGAGCAGTACACCCGCCCTTTGGTCGATAGTCGAACATCTCGTCTACGCCAGAGTCGGCGTAAACTAACAAATGCGAAACGAGCCCTTGTATTCGTGCTGAGATTTCGTCAGAGATCAACCCGTTGGCACTGGCTGAAGGTACTTTCTGTCTGTCTGTCTGTCTGTTTTCGACATAGAACTTTGCACAAATGTGCGGAAGTTCAAGTCTCCACATTCCGTGTAGCACGCGAACCAAGAGAAGAAAGTACAAGAAAAGCACAATAGAAACAGTGAGCAGAGGTGTGAGACAAAGGAGAATAGAGAATAACAAAACAGTTTCATTGTAGATCATAAGTCACAGGGAGTGGATGCATCTGCGCCACTGAGAACGGTTTTGAGCCATGTCACCAATTGTTTCCAACCATAGATTTTTACCGTCCCGAGGTACTTTCCAAATAAGTGAAGCGGTCAACGTGCTCTACCACTTCACTTCCTATTTTTAAACTAGGCGTCGATGTAGTCCAGTCCTGTAACATCATCTTGCATTAGACATATATCATCCACGCACGAAATCCAGATATTCTAGAGTCTCAATTCCGGTGGTTCAGCATATTCGTGTCTCCTTGCTCCTCATGTACAATCTGAGGTGTAATGCAGTCCACCAAGATTAAAAATGTCATCGGTGATAAGAGGCAGGCAGCCTTGTCGTCTTACTGCTGCATGTTTGATCAATTCATTTTGTTGTATAGTACATAATATTGTACCTGAGGAACTTTTAAACCGTATAACTGAAGCATGATATTGTTCAGATAATTCTGCACTGTTGATACAAGTTACCATAGTTGTTGAATAGTATTATAATGCAACGACAGAAGACAAGGGTCAGGCAACACATCCTTCATTGAGAAAATCAACAGATATTTATAGATTTTTATGTACATTATTATTAGCGTTATTGTTAGTAGAGAAACAACGTCTTCTGATTGGTTGTTTTCTTGCTAAAGGTTATTCTGTCATCTCTCTGTGGCCGTTTCTTAGAAAGTTAGGCCATATATCTGCGAATCGTATTTGCACAGGTTAAGCCTGCTGTGATTGGTTGGTAAATTCCTCAAGGTCACTGTTTGTCATTGTGTTTTCTCATGACCCCGATTCGGGACGTAAACATCAACGTAAATTGTTGTCTACAATTTTGGCTTGCAGACAGCAATCACCACACTTGTCCCCATATCAAAGACTTTCGACTGAAGTTGGTTCAGTCTTTTTGGTTCTAGTGGCTTTGTTCGTTTGGAATTCCAGCGCTCGGTGACGTTCACCTTTTTCTCTTTGTTTACATTTGCGATCGTATCTACGTCGCCCCATCTCACAGTGAATATATGTGGACCTTCAGACTTTGTATATATATATATATATATATATATATATATATATATATATATATATATATATATATATATATATATATATTAGAGAACGCATAAAAAGTGATTGAAATTACCTGACATCAACATCTTCTCTACCAGATGACATAAAACAGCCTTGAGCATTTGTACCGAATTGAGGCAATATCAATCCAGTGATGAGCTCTTCCACTGAAGAATCTAATTTCCGTTGTGTTCCAATTAACCATGGAGTTTGTGGTAAGCGTCGACTTAGCTTGACATATCGACCAGCTAAACACAATGGTATACTCCGTGAGACATTTAACAGTGTCATAAAAGCCAAGGAATGGTTGTCTTCAGAAGAAAGTCTGTCATTTGAAAAGAAAAGAGAAAACAAAACAACAACATATAAAAGTTTAAGTGAATTTTAGATTTTCCCGTCGAAGTGTTCGGTCTCAGGTTGACACTGGGTTCGACTCTCGGTGAGAACATCATCACTCATTTGGGAATGCAAGCACATCCAGTTAGCTGACGAGTCCCAAATAGGACGAAATGCGCGTTATTCTGAATCCCACTGCTAGTCACCATCCACCAATTTAACCCATAAAAGCTTCTTTTTATTTGCTTCAAAGAAATAGTTTATTAAAAATACAATCGATATTTTCAAGTGTTACTTCACAGGGATTTATTTGATTGGTTGTAAGATTGGTAAGGAACTGATTTCAGTTAGAGAATTATAGAAAAACAAGAAGCACTGAGAAGCCATTTTATTTTTGTTTAGGCCACTTTGGTGATGTACACCCATAACCCAAATAAGGATAGAATACAGCACCTTCCAATTATTGCAGGACGAACTCAATGACAATTGGACCAATGTGACAGAATCTGAAGGCCACAATTCGGCCAATTCGCAATCGCCAGACAATGTAGGCGGTGAGTATTTGTCCAGAGGCTAAGAGGTCAACGACATGGCCTTGTAACCTGAATGTTGTGGGTTAGGCCTTTAGTGAGAATATGGATGCGCACCGATGAAGAGTACCAGACAACGACGAAACACACACTGAGGACTCTCTGGTTTCTAATGACTTTCTAACTGAAATCAGTTCGTCATCAACCTTCACATTCATTAATGATGAAACAACCATCATTAGTAAGCAGATATTATTCAGCTGTTGTCGCATGGACGCATGACTGACTGACCGACCGGTTTTAACGTAGAATTTTACTCTATAATTTGGTTCGTAAAGGTTAGTTTTGTTTATACGAGATGATCACGGATTGATATCAATTAGAGAACCATCGAAAACCAAACCAGGGAGTACTGCTGTTTCATCAGCCTAGTTTGGGAGCCATCGCCAAAAAGCATCCACTGCCAGGGTTCGAACCCAGGAACTTCCAGTTACAAGGCGAGCGAGCTCGTATACCATTCAGCCCATGAATTCTAACTTCTACCAATTCGTGATTTAGCGCGACCGCAACCAATTTCGTCGGTGGGACATCCATCCTCACATGTGACATCTGGATGGACCTCACTGGTCACTTCTCACTAGGAAGAACTACAGGAAACTCCGTCCTGTAATAAGTCACTAACGAGCATCAGATTAATATTCTATAATTTGGTTTGTAAGGGTTAGTTTTGTTTTTACGAGTTGATCGGTGGCTGAATGATATACGAGCTTGCCTTGTAACCGTAAGGCTATGGGTTCAAACCATGGTGGTGGGTGCGTACTCCCGATGATTCCAAAACTAGGATGAACCAGCAGCTGTCCAGTACTCCCTGGTTTGGTTTTCAATGGTTCTCTAACTGATATCGATCCGTGATCAACTCGTAAAAAGTAGAACTTTACACCAATGTGAAGCAGTTAGAATCGCAAAACTTCACTCAGCACAAAAAGCCAGAGAAAAAGAAAGTAAAATGATATCCAAAACAGAGATATGAAGCAAAAAGCAGAGTAATATGGAAGAACAATATAGCTTTATTGGACATCATAAGTCACAATGAGTGGATGAATCTGTGCCAGCGCCATTGAGAACGATTACTTTGAGCCATATCACCAACTGGCTGGATGGATACACTGAGAGTTATATTGAGATAAATAAAAAGGTATATCAGTGTATATAGAGATATTCGGTTGAACGGCTTTGGTCAATAACACCTGAGTCCAAATCTTGACCCATCCAGGTCTTCTAAGAAGAATTGGCAGCATGAAGTGACTCTTTAACAATAAGTATGTTTCATAATCTAACAATTGCATGAGGATGTGAAGCTCTACTGAGCGAGATGGTTAGAACATGTGTTACGCATGCTTATTTGACAATTAATCCTTCGTTCTCGACAAATGTTAATCAACAAAGGATTACGGTGGGGGAAAATTACGAGTGGACACATAAAAATATGTCATCAATGCATGAATTTATTGACTAGTGCCATAAATCACGTACGCAGATGAAAACTGCTAGGTTGTAATCCTAGAAACGCGAAAAATCAATGGCGTGGCGGTTGTATTCACTCTTTATGAACTTCTAAGTCCATAAAATTCCTAATATTTCTGTGATGCTTTCTCCTATCATATAGTTGCTCAGCATTTTCCTCTTTCCACATTTATGTGTACTTTATATATAGTGGGGCAAGTGTGGACTGCTGTGTTCGAAACCTTATCATCCAGTAAATAACACTCTATTCCACTATGTGATATATCTAATAAACAAATTAATATTGAACCGCTAAAGTTTTACGTTAAGAAAAAACCCGTTTAATTAGTTAGTGAAACGTGTAGAAGTTATTTAATACGCGAAAAATTTATTGAATATATTATATTAAATTTTGTGAAAAAATGTGGCATATACTACTGATAAATATTCTATCAGTAGTATACCGAGAGATGTTCATCGGCATAAAAACCGAGAGATGGATTCGATGTCAGAGAAGGCAATGGATTCAGCGTTTCGGCGGAGATACATTAGAGATGACGTGAAAGGAACACAAAGAAACAAACACACAATGTGAGAGAGAGGCAAAAGTAGCAAAACATATGGGATCTGTGCAAATGTTGCGTTGAAGATAAGGTATACATCAATTTTTTTATTATAGCCTGATTGCATACCGTATTTTCGGTACAAGTATGGAATTTTCAGCCCGTGATATCGGTAGCCCGAATTTTGCAGGCCGACCACTGATGTCAGGTGTGCGCCCGCAGGGGGTCGAACACCGGACCATGTATCTGGTGATCTACCGACGCACACTATGCAAGTACTAACCGAGCCCAACGTTGCTTAACTTTTGTGATCAGAAGAGAACCGGTGCTTTAAACAAGATATGGCCGCTATATACAGATACCAAATTGCAAATAAACATTCCTTTACCAAGTCTCTTCTAATGGAAGTAAAACTACAAAACGGCAAAGATTGGACCATATTACAAAACAGATCATTATGAATTGACTTCAGTTAGAGAGGTATCAAAACCAAGGAGTACTGGACAGATGTATCATCCTATTCTTAGACTCCATTCAGGATGGGATGTATGACAATAACGTTACGAGATAGGTTGGCTGATCATTTAGCCATCGGGATGGAATTCAATGGTCTATGCAATCTAACTTCTATCAATTCGTAATATATAGCACGACTTCCAGTCGGCGTCATCGGTAAGCATTTATCTTGACACCCAACTTGTTGGACGCCATTTGGTCACGATTATCCCTTAGAGCTTCAGTCAAATTCATCATGTATTCGGTCATTAGTCTATCGTTTTCATTCCTTATGCTCTGAGAGAAACATAGTACCTCATACCATAGGCTTAGAAGTTTCAATGATGGTGTTGTTCAACCGGCAAAGTTAATATATGTGTAAAACTTGGACACTGTGGTAGTAAGTAATTCCATATTAGTTTGTTTATTGGATATATCACACAGTGAGTGAAACAGTATTATTATTTACTGGATGACACAGTTTCGAACACAATTTATTGCGGTTCATAATCATCTCATGAATTATAATCACACGACTTCGAAACTTGAGTTTTATAGTTTTCTTTGTTCTCTCCTATTTGTCAACGTTGAGATAGTAGAATTCTTCAGATATCTGGGTGAACGGGTGTTGAATCATTCCTATCACACGTGTTTGCAGTGGATTCGATAAATAAAGTTTCTGTTATCAATCTCTCCTTCGCTCCACCCTGTGACATTAGATTTTAAAACTGTCATCTTATCCCGCCATCCTATTGTACAGTTGTGTGTAATTGCATGTAGTGAGTGGTATAGCTGAACTATTCTCTAGATTTCTTATCTTATTCGAGTCAACTAATCTAGATTTTACTAGATTTTAATGCTCAGCTAGTCTGACTGCCTTGTTCTACTAGTTTGACCTAATCTAATGTCACAGGGTGGAGGGAGAGATTGATAACAGAAGCTTTGTTTATCGAATCAACCGCAAATACATGTAATAGTAATGATCCAACACCTGTCCACCCAGATATCTGGAGAATTCTACTACCTCAACGACGACAAATAGGAGAGAGCAAAGAAAACTATAAAACTCAAATCTCAAAGTCGTGTGATTATAGTGGATATGATTATGAATCACAATAAATTTTGTTCGAAACTGTGTCATCCAGTAAATAATACTGTTTCACTGTGTGATACATCTAATAAAGAAACTAATACGGCAAAGTTAAACTATAAGTGCCAAAACTACAGTGACCTTCAACGACCAATCAGAATTCGGGTGCAGAAAAGCCACATAATCGTTGAAAATTACAGTAAAATATATCGCAAACATCGTATTACATTGCATATTTGTAGCTTATGTGTTGTAAGAATGTCTCCCAGTCACTACACAGATGATCATTTATAGGGAAATCATACCATGCCCGATATATCCATCCATTCATCCAGGTGACTACTTTTGATCATGGCACTTTGAGATCTATTGGTATTTCTGTCGCCTACTCCCAACCCTAAACCCTAAACATTAATCTAGAAAGCCATCACCCTACCTAACAGGATAGATTTGCAGAGAGAGTACCTAGTAAATCAGTAGAATGCTGTATCTACCCTCTCCAAGTCCAAAAGGGAAGATATGGTTTGATTTGGAATGACATTTCATGACATTCCCAGTATGTAATCGGCACTCGAAGGACAATTTTTGAAAGAACTTTACCTTGGCTATGATAGTTTAATTTCGCCATTCAACCCCCTGTCGTTACCGCGCTTACAACAAGCCAGTAAACTTGGCGAGGTTTAAGGAATGGGTCAGCCGGGGATCGAACCATCCTGGCCACACGTGTGGTCGGTAAGCATTCAACATAAATATTGAATCACATACTACCATGTTTGGTTCGTAAAGAGGTGAAGCAAAGGAAACACTA